GTGATCATTCAGAAAAATTTTTATAATTTTCGAAAGGGTCAATCTTCTAGTTTCTAATTAGCTTTAGACATCTGCAAAAAGTTGATAATGAAGGAAGTTATGAATGTTTGAATGATGAAAACTCGCGTGTGCACAAAAAACGGAACAACGGGACGATTTTTGAAGAACTGAACATTTGCATAAGTTTGAAAGTTTATTTTGAAAAGAAAACAATTCGAAGTTTTAAGTTTTTGTATAATATCTCATGAGACAGGGAAGGTCATACCTTCTTCAAGGTCATCGTCGGCGACTTCAACGCCAAGATTGGCCCAAGAAGAACGGCTGAAGAACTTCACATCGGTACTCACGGAATGGATTGGAATGAGCAGGGCGAAAGACTGTGTGAGTTTATCACGTCGACCAACACCATAACTAACAGTTAATAATTAACAGTTAACTAGGTAACTAGGTAGGTAACTCACAGTTTCTGAAATATTGAGGTTTTGGGGCAGTAGTGGGATATTACCAAAAAGAGTTGAAGTTTTAAATACAGACATATATGATGGCAAAATATATCTTACTGGAACAACTGAGTCAAATTTGCTTCTGAGACCCATACAGAAAAAGCACTGAACTTTGCCTTTTCATTGCCACTACGCGCCACTTTGAACAATAAATTTCTACTACTGTACCGCTCGATACATAATCACATTGTGTATTGCTGGAACATTTCATCGAATCCATTCATATTCCAGGTATTGCTCATTTACAGCTCAAAATCCTCTTATGGAAGGTGACGCGGTAGTGCTTGCATACTTGCTTCGGTCCCACGCGGGATAATAACCCAAGCTGCAGTGATTGAGATGAGAGGTCGCACTCAGCAAAATGAAAAGGAAGATTAAAGGTCACAACCGAAGTATAGAGTATTTTTCTCTGTGAGTGTGGTTGTAAGGTCTCCGCACAGGAGTCGTGACACTGCCGCAGCCTAGAATTGCGTCGAAGAACGAAGTCGAAGAAATCGTCCGCAGAAGCAGCACTATCCTATGTTTCCCATAAAATATGAGCTTGAGAGTCACACTTCACCATAAGATAGACAAAACAAAAATTTGGGATAGTTAATAATTTGGATAATCAATAATGGATAATGGATAATTTGGATTTTGATAAACCATTTAAAAAGCTTAGTGGACTGTTACACAATCAAATTTTCGCAGTGCATCTGTCGTAAATGTGGCGGTGAGAATGCTTCCACTTACTTCTAAGAGTGCCATCACTATAACTCCCTTTGACCTTTTCACCTTTGACGAAAATATTATACATATTTCACTGTTCCACTGTCTACGTTCTCAAAATTCTCACGTTTCAATTCGATTCTTTTACTCGCTAGTACGTACCCTCCCCTCTCAAAAAGCCAGAAAGTGTCGCGGTGCAGACCATACACCACAAGTGACGACGGCCTCCAGAAAATGCAAATGTTTTTTGCCAATGAAATGATTAACCTGTTGCAGTTGTATTCGATCAGTTGACACTAATTACAACTATCATTTACTAAAAATCAGCTATCACTATGAACCACTACTAACCAGATTTACTTGGAGGCCGTCGTCAGTTGTGGTTTGGTCTGCACCCGACACTTTCTGGCTTTTTGAAGAGGGTATTGCTGTGGCCAACAAGTAGGCGCTCGGAGCCATGGAGCAGAGGTGTCGTACTGGGTGGTTGAGAAAGCAGAGCATAAAACGTTCGGGATGGATCAATCCTTACTTACTACGCTACTACACGCACGATCCTGGGGGACAAAGGGTGAGCAAGTTTTCTAGGGCCAAATAGGCCCTCCATCTTGGAGTCAGCTTGTACACCCCTCCCCCCCCCCTCCGAAGCCATGTTATAGGTCAAATCGCAGACGAATTTCGTCAATGATTGAAAAAGAACTGTTAGCTTGCCCAGAGGGTTGATCTATTCCGAATGCTTCATGCTCTGCTTTCTCACCTATAGGAGGAAGAAATGCATCTCATTGGGAAGGAGAGCTGTTGCAATGATGACACATTATTCACACAATCAATGATTCTGTTTGCGATGGAGAGAGATTTGCGTGGAAAGACCCACCTTAAAGAAGGGTGTGATGAGCAGTTGGAATCTTCTCGTCACCATTTATCGTCCAGATCATTTTTGGTTTCTCCTTACGGAAGCTGCACAAATCTGAAACACCCTGTACTTCCAAACTGACTAATAGTGGAAGAAAGGATCAAAATCAAACCTTCTTGAGAGTTAGTCGAAAGCTGGCACCAAATATCAAGTAGCAGAAGAAATTCGCTGTCCCGTTAATTACAACCAGTAAATTCGATAAATCCACAAAATACACAAGAATATTCTAGAATTTTTCCGAAACGAATTACAATAACATTTCATCGAATATTTTGTGAAACTTACGGGATTATTAAGAATTATCTCCATGAAATTGACAAGTAAAGCGGTAAAGTTACAAAATATGAAGAAAAACACCACAAGGATCAGGCTTATGGTATCAGAATCGTCTGTAATATGAGCGAGTGTAGAATTACTGATTTTATGTATGTAATACTGAAAATATTACCGGTTTCGGGGGTTCTTTTGGTGAGCACCGTGAACACGACGCAGATGTTAAGAAGGATCAGCAATGTCAATGGGCCAATGGCCAAGAATGTAGTGTACATGTAGGTGTAGTAGATGGCATAGTAAGCAGGATCTAGCCGAATATCTGTCGGGCAGATCTGTGTTCCAAGGCTGCCGTCATTCGCTATACAGTCAACCTATAACAATAGAAGAAGCTCATTTCATCCACATTTTCCGGACCTTTTACAAGTAATATCCTTTTCATATTCGGAACATAGTGAGAAGCCATGTACTGGCGACACATTATACGAACTCCTTTTTTTCGGCTGCTAGTGAAAACATGATTCGAAATAGATTGAGGCAACAATGCATATTTGTTCTTACTTCTATAGTATGTAGATTTATTTGCATTTTCCAAAACAGTCTGTTATTAGGTTGTCGGAAAAAGTCATAGTGCGAAATCTTTGGGAATTCTTTTGATACCACTGAACAAGAATCACGAAAGACAGTTTCACTCCGCTGAAAGAGGTGCGGAGATGAGGTTTCGTCTGGATGCGGCTGAACTGGGCCAAAAAAAGGATATCAGAGCGGTCATCCTGATGCCCCCTCCAAATAAAGGTGCGAGAGCAACGCCTGCGATGGTACGCACACCTGCTACGAAGGCCTGGGGAGAACCCAATAAAGAAAGCGATGTTCTCCGAAACGCAATTCAGTCGACCGCACGAGAACCTCAAAGGATTGAGAAAAAAGTTGAATTCAAGGCAGAGAAGCTCACTGTAAGTCTGGCCAAAGCAGGGGGATGCTCTGCGACAGATTGAAGTGGCCAACCGAGCTGACAAAGAAAGCGAACCCCGGGACTATGTGGGACTGACGCTAGAGAGCAGAAGAAGTTTTGAAACATTCGCTGTGAAACGCATTGAGCACTGGCCCAGGGTTTATCCGCAGCATTTCTGCCGTAGCACTTTGCCGCGGTTATGCCTGACAAAATCATCTTTCGCCGAATGGACGATGTCGGGTGAGGTACGTCACGGAAAACGAATCGTCCCGTTTATGGCACTCCTTGTTGGACGCATCTACTGAGGTTTCGGGGTATTTTGACATCTTCCTGAGAATTTCGTCACTACAACATTTCTCCATGTGCTCGGCAAACTTCGCTTGCTACAGAGGGGGTAACAGTACAGAAACCTCCTTGAGCGGTTTCACCTTTTCGAACCTTTGTCGACCTCAGTCGTGATCGAAGTACCCAGCCGAACTTCACAGGCTGTGACGAGGAAACTATTCTTCACCACCGCATAAAAAAGCGTCTGTTTTATGGGATGTTAGAAGGTGACAGAGATTCAGATGGCTCTTCGGTAACGGCAGGTTTAGCGGCACCCCCTACCAAATTTTCCGGACTTTTCAACATACTTCATGTGACTTGAAACCACAGATCAATTTTCCCTAGTTCACCAGCGGCCCTCTCAACAATTTTGAGCACATATTCTATCGAATCTTTCAGCCGATTTTTACCAACGTTCAATATCCACCGGCTACTTCACCACCTTCGAAGCTCTCGCCGTCACACGAAGGTTTTCTAAAGTGTCACTGCACAACCCATTTTTCGTGAATGCGAGACTAAATGAATTGCTTATATCATGAGCTGATTCCGCTCCTTTCTGCCCTAATTCGAGTAGAAGAAGAAAATCGTGTGGATTTGCTTGGTTGAGCATGTTGCATTCTGGGAATTAAAAAGTTGAGAGAAGTCATTCTAGAGCAAAGCTGCCAGCATCATGGAATAGAGCGGAAAACGCGCTCTTTAATATTATGCGCAACTTGTAGCCTGCCAAAAGGTGGTCAGAACAATGCACTGGATTCTGAACTGTCTAAACAGCAAGAAGTTTCCTAAAAATCTAATAATAGCTTTGAATTGTTCAACATGTATGAGAACAGCACCACACTTCCAATAAAGCAGTCCCGCAGAGATGGTTTCTTGTGTGCACATCCAAAATTCCCGCTGTTTTTTGATCGTGTATATGTAGTGATGCGGTTTTTCCACGCACTAATTAGCGAAGCCTTTTAGCCAGCTCCGTTCCTGCCACGTTCTGTTGCCCTTTCGTGCAACTGAACAGCTTCTTGCATTTCTACCCTGTGTTGTGTGAGCCGCCGAGTCCTTCATGAGAGATATGCAGTAAATGAATTTGGGCTTGCGCTCGCCTCTCATCACTCAAAAATACGCTCATGTTCGTATATTCGCCCTGTCATTGCTACTCATGTCCTCTTATGGAGAAGGCCAAGAGCGGCGATCGCAAAGGAGAAACAGAAGGACAAACCTTCTCCAATTCGAAAAAGTGTGGAACGTTGTAGAGTATGCAGATGACCATAATGCACATGCATGTCATCTTTGCTCTCCTGAACAAAAACGATAATTTTGAGTCAAAGCTTACATGTCTTAAGTTTCTAACAAAGAAGGAGCATTATTGTTTATTGTTTATTGTTTCGTACGTCAGAAAGACATGCCGTCAGCACACCAAGATGATCCATAAAGACAATTTTAAAGATAAATCAACGAACTCGAAAAGTTAAAAATAAGAAAACTTAGCTAAGTAGCAATCATCCAATCATTCAAAATCGAGGTGACCCAAGGCACACCCCAGCCTTTCAGTGGTTCAATTTTACATCTTATCCTCAGGGGGTCCCGTTGCATGCCCTATATTAGGTTGGTAACTTTGAAATGTCGCTTCCTTTAGTGGCTTTGTTTCTCAGCTGAAACTCAACCTCGTAATATGGGAGAGCATCCATTCGATAGAGCAATTCAGTGCGCATATTGCGAAACCTTAGCCGTCAGCGAGCGGATGTTCTTTGAGCCAAAACTTTTGCTCGAACATGGATTCCTACGTGCGACTGTTAGGGCCTTCCAGGAGAGAAAATGGGTTCGGCCTATTCTGAGCGACACGAGCAAGCAGTATTGGTTGCCAATACTTGAACTCTGCTGCATAACTCCAAAGAAGAAGGTTCCTGACTTCGTTGAAGGCGTGTTTTACAGAAGGATGTTCCCCGATAACAAAGTGAGAAGATGGCCGTGGTTGGCAACAGATGGGCAGCTGAGGGCCTCTCCGAAACCGGACAGCCACAGAGAAAAAGTCTTGCTGCAGTATGGTGAAGCAGTATAAGAATGGCTTACTATGGAGAGATGAGTTTAGCGTCATTACGTTACATTATGGGCGGAAGTGGTGTAGTGACAAGTGGCGCGCTTACCACGCGAGCGGTCCGGGATCAAATCCTGGGTCGTGAGTCGCCCGGGCCAACCAAGCCTTCCATCCCTCCGGGGTCGGTTAATTGGTACCAGACTTGTCTGGGAGGATAAAAACACTGACTTGAACATCGGCTGGCCCCCGCAAGTCATTGTATAGGCCACATCGCATTCAAACGCCACTGCGAATGTACAAATGGAAGTAGAATGCGTGCCGCATCCCAAAAAGGGATTGATCAACGGCAAATGCTTTATCCTTTATTTTTAGTTACAGCTAAACTCTGCGCACAACATCCCGCAGGCGAGGGTCGGGCTCTACGTAGTCAAAGGGCAAATTCGGTCATTGAAACATTTTGGCACGATAATGCAAGATCACATGTCGCGAAAATTTTGCAACAAGAAATCGAGGAGTTGGGCTGGGACGCTCTCCCTCTCGCGCCATATAGCTCAGACCTGGCACCCTCCAACTATCACTGACTCAGGTCAGCGCAATACTCCTTAGCAGCAAACCAATTTGATAACCGCGACGACCTCATAATTTGAGTACCTAACTTCTTCGAGTCGTACCTGGAAGAGTTCTACGAGGTAGACCTCCTTGCCTTGCATAGGAAAAGGTGGAGAGTGGATGATACACATAAACGAAATAAATTAGGTTGATAAGCTTTGGTATAGCTTTTATACTTAAAATAATCTTTGATCAAAAACGACATTTCAAAGTTACCAACCTAATATTTCACCGACCTTTCTTTCCATCCCGGAGCCTCAGCATCACTGATTGGTTTCCTAGGATTTATCTAGACCAGCCACTTCCACCATTCGCCTTTAAACTGACCGTCTAGCATGATGTGGTGGATTAATTTGTGTTATGGAGCGGCAATTCCTCCACTCTCGTCAATTTCACGCTTCTCTCATGGAGTTTCAGTGAAATTGTCTAAAAAATGAAAACACTCTTCCGGTACTCCCTCTTTCGTCTGCAAATACTATCCCCGTCCAAAAAAATCTCAAATACGATCTCCTCGTTGAGAACTGCGCAACGCATGGTTGGCCCTGATTATGGATTTAACAAAAAAACTCAAAATGTGAGAGATGTGTTTATCCTTTGAGTCTATAAAAAGAGAATTCAGTACGTGGTACTGTATTGAAATTGATCTGCACTCTTTTGCGTTACCATGACCACTATTGCTTGTTTTATTCTGCCCCCTTATAACAAACATACTGCGGTGCTTACCGTGAGGTGCAGTACAATTGCCGAACCGATTCGGGCAGTACAACACCTATGAAGCAGTCGACGGCAGCGGCTACACAAAAATAGACAGAAGTCGTCTGGAAGACGGCCGCCACTGGAAACACCACTGGAGCACCGAACACGTAGGCCCATGCCAGAACTAAATGATAGAATTGGAATGAATGTCGCTACAGAAGGTTTCATCAGGTGAGGTAGTCAATCCTGAAAGGGAATCTTCTGGTCAGCGACACGACCTTACTATTTTGTCGCACTTATTGGTCAGATTCATTCGAGTACGTGCTTACGAGAGCAGATAAGGGCACCGGACGTATATTCAAAGAAACTCGAGCAGTTTCAATTAGTAGCACTTACCTGCACGGCCAAAGCGAAGTTCATTGAAGTAAGAGTTTGACCTTTATACGTGCACAAGGGAGGGGCAGAAAAGTCATTCTACCTCCACGTTTAAAACCGATTCAGTTACACTTTGCCGAATTCGAACTAAATGCTCCCGAATAAAACTTGAAGAGTACACCTCAATCCATTTAAAATTTTCATTATAGCCTTCTCCACCTCAGATATCATGTTAAAGAATTTGCCACGGAACGTTGTGCGTGGCTTGAGCTCATTGAGGGCTCCGACGGATCATGGCCCACTACGATGTTCTCTGGAACCCTAGTCGGAAGGAGTCTCGCATAGTCAGAACTACTGTCTCCACGCTATCTATCAGTAGATAGGATCAATTAGGTAGCAGCTTCAGAGTGGTGCAATTTACGGTAGACCTTCTGGAGACCGACGGCGCCTGGGCAGATACGTCCTATCAACTTAGGCGTAGGCATGAACGAGTGCTCGCGCATACTTATAGAAAACAGCGAGATATTGGTGCAAGCATTTCAGCCAAATCAGCACTAATGCATGTTTCTTCCTTATTAACAGCTGCTCCCAACGTTTACCTTTACAAGAACACTTCCTGCCTATTCACGGCGTTAAGTCCAATGTCAATCCCCATTTAGTCCTGAAGCTTCAGATTTTCGGATACCTTACTTTAGCAGTTATCAGCAATATTTATTAGACAAACCGTATAAATTACTTGTGAAGATACTTGGTCCCATATCTTGCATAGAATTGAATTGCGGGGAGTGCCTCAGAAGGACGGGTTAACCACTGATTTTGCGTGAGGAAATTCAACTATTATTCACAGTTTACTTAAATTCATCTTTAACGATCCTAAGGCCGATGTCAGACTTTGCGAAATCGCGCGATTCGCTACTAGCGATTTGCCGATTCGCATAAAAGCTACCGCGCGCGTTGCGGGTACCACCCATTGATGAATTCATGGCCGCACGCCGACCAACAACGCGACGAATCTGTCCCGCGATCCGCAAGTCTGACATCGCCTGATGCTATCCCTTTCCACAGACTCTCGCAGAGATATTCTCCATCAGCGCCCGCTCCTCTGAAATCAGGCAGTAGCCACGCATCCTCAACGGGTCATAGAGAACTCGTGTCGATTCTATAGAAAACTCAAAATTGACAATCAGCAACTCCTGCTTGTGTGGATTTTGGTGATATATGAACAAGAACTCATTAACCCAGTCCAACAAAATACGGGGGGCATAAAAAAACGACATTTTTCTCCACTTCTTAGATGGATATAAGCTCATTCACTTTGCTCAATCAATCGAATATCCAAATAATATAACAAAGAGATATATACTAATAAAAAATCATATCCGATGAAAACATAGAAAGAGATCAAAAATAGACATAAAAAATAAAATAACTCCAACATAAGAAACCAATGGGTTCGAAATCTGGTACATAACAGTCCTTCCAAAAAGCTAGTTGAGGCGATTTCTTATGATAGCTAATTGCTTAGAAAATCATATCCACATTAAAATCGGGACTTCAACGAAATTGCTAAAGCTTCAGTGACACTCACAGTAACCTACCTACCTGGGGACGACGGTGACAGAGACGTCAATATTTCGAAGACGTGAGCAGTAAGAGCCTGCTTCACGTCATAGATGACACTAGAGGCATACTCTGCTGGATGACTCCGCAACGGGTACAGCAACACTCTGCGAAGAAAAAAAGGCCGGGGATCCAACATAAATAAAGTCTTTTTTGGGGGGGGGCCCCCCCTGTATGTTTACGATCCAGCGTCAAAACCGGGCCGGATCAATGGTTTGTGAACACTGTTTCGTTAGCACATTCGAAAAATATTCATACTCACTCTTGTTTAAATCCATACGAAAAGTATAGAGCTGACTGAGTAGGAAAAAGCATACCCATGTGAAATCAGAATCAATGCCTGGTCTACTAAGAGTATAACGTGCGAAAAGGAAGACAACGACTCTTCATCTCCTCTTATCATAAATTTAACAACTTGAATACTATGCTAAATTTTGGTTTACAGGGCTTGTCCATAAAGACCACGCAAAACATGGTAACGTATGTAAGAGCTACTCAAAAGAAAACGATAGACTAAAAAACAAACAGCGAGCCGAAAAAGAATCAATCACAGAATAATTGACCCGCTTAAATGATGGTATTAGATTTTGAGTAGTTACTGTCAACATACACATTTGACTCTCGGGTTTCTTTTGTGAGAAACTCCAACCATCAAAGGACTGGTTTGGTTAGAAACTGTCTTGAAGCGGTACCTACAACATCACCAACTTTCATTGATGATCGTGTGCACGTGGCGAGCTGTAAATGATCCCAACTTCTTTTTTTTTTCCGCCATTCTGCAGAAAATTCTTACATAGAAACGAAAATAAGCTGCCTTATTATCAAAATCCTTATTTCATTTTCAGCCATCGGTAATCCGCCTTGGCTGTCTACATGTTTACGTACTTTTGCAGCACAGAAGACCACTGTGATCCTCTAAAAGCATTCCCAATTGACGTCGCTTCTCCATAAAACCTGACGCACTTTTGTTTTTACTAAGGAAACTCCCCTGGAATAATCTTTTCTGAAAGCGGTTTCTCTTCCCACTAGGCGCTTACTGTCCGAGCAGCAGATCCTGGATCGCAAGCTATCAGACTCTTCAGTATTTCATGACCGGATGATTGGTCTCAGACATGTCAAAAGCACTGGTTTTCACATAGGGAGGTTCCAGCAGGTCCTAGCATGAGCCAAATCGCGTCCAGTACGATCCAGAGTCGAAGCAGAAAGCGTGGCTCATCCCAGCAAAGAATTGATCAGGGACGAATTCTCTATCTTTTATCCCTTATTCTGTTTGGAATCAATATCGCAGCCCTTCTTAATGATTTCGAGTATTCTATGAAAATCTCAGAAATTCTCACATCCATCAAATTATGGAAGTGGCATTGTGCAATTTCCAAACGGTAAACACCAACAAAGGCAGCCGGCCTTCCCACAATAACGCTAGACCACGAATTCATTCCCATTGGTAGAGTCATTAAGTTAACGACGACCGCCACCAGCAGAAATGCAAAACAAAATCCCAGCACTCCACTTCAAAGCACCCTTTCACATCAATTCATCAAGCAATAAGTCTTATGAGAAAAACGGCTCTTGGACTCTTTAAAAGGCTCAGGGATTTCCTAAAAGAGTCTATAGGGCACGCTCAAAAGGGATTATTACGCTCGTCGGTCATGGATTATGTTTTTATGAGACAGAATGAGACCCTGTCATGCCGTGGTTCAAATTCTGGAGGTGTAGTGCGTAATACGGTATTCATCCTCAGGTGGAACTTCGCCAGTATCACTCGAATGCTGCTCAAAAATAGCCCCAAGCAGAGGAGATGACGTTGATGGAAACGTCACTTATTATAAAATCGCATGGAGCTAATCCGTCCATTCCGTCGCCTTATCCACCTTCTCGTGGCTCGAAAAGCAATTCCAGCGGCGAAATTGACCCACGTATCGTTTATCTCTTTCCACCACTCCATCTCTCCTAGCACGAAAATCGGCTACTAGAGTTTTCAATACGATATAAAGCTTCTTATAAGGTGACGAAACCTCAAGGAAAAAGTTTTCCTACTGGACTAGCGAGTGGACTGAAACAAAAAGAGTCCCCTTGAAATTTGTATTTATGAAGCAAAAGCTGGACGAAATCGAATTCTCAATTTTAACTTTGACCGGGCATTCAGCGTTCTTATCACGCTCGTAGTTACCTGCCTCATCGTCAACTGGACAGTCAAGCGACCTAAGCTGCACTATTGAACATGAACGGCTTCCGAATGCAGTGTCGCTTACAACTCCGTTGTCTAGCCTTGAAGTCAGGAGGTGTTGGGCGCAGTGTCGAGGGGGATGAGGTGGGGACGAAGCTCAATAAACTGAAATTCCTCATCTGATGAGGGGTCGTAAGTTCGAGTGAAGTCCGTGACAGTTATGGAGGGGAAGGTGAAGATGATAACCTACATTGGGCTACTGCAAAGGAAGCCCAATCGCGCTGACGTTCCTTGCATGAGCACAGACCAGCTAATCCGTGAACTACGCTGAACGATGTGCTCAGGAAACGAGGGTTCACTTTTGCTCGAGATGGGGTCAAAATGTGTTGACACTTAGTGTATCTTGTTTTCTGGGCAGGAGCTGCTTTTGTCATCACTGCTCATCTGTTAGTAATACATGCGTGGTCTTGATGCATCGCGTCATAGTGGTTCGCCAAGAAATCGTAGTAAGCGCTGGGTTCGCGTAATAATGGGCTGCAATACACAGTACAACTGCACACTGCTTCAAGCAGATAGAATCACATATCACGGGCTAGGACGACAACGGCATTTGCCATTGATCCGCAGGTACTTTTGATACTGGAATGGTAAGCTCCAGAAATGACACAGGCTCCAGAAAGAGAAACGAGGTTAGCAAATTCCCTTAAATGGTCAGCTGTATCAGAACCAAAAATTTGTTGCCCTCAAAATAAATGAATTTCAGAAATAGGGGTCCTAGAGAGTAATGTTTTGCCATGCGTCACAGTCTTCTATCGTGGGTCTGCCAAAGTAATGTATTCTTCAGAATAGCATGTCTACAGGTCCAATGTTTAGCACACCCTTTTGGCGCTCATTCCAGGAAAGTGCTTCAACTTGCCATGGAACGTTGAATTGAGATCTAAATGAATCTAAGGTGCCTGGAATGATGTTTACAAATGTGACGAGCAAACACCACGTGACCCTGCCGAAGAAGTTGTAAGCAAATGAATT